TGTGGAGGGCCGCATGTTTCTCATCGGCCGGATCTCTGCGCTGATTCATGAGGTTCTTCCTGCTAAGACTATCGTTGAGAACATGGTCAACGACGCGGCGAGGATCATTCATTTGAATGCAGCGAAGATCAAGGTCGAGGCTAAGCTATAGGTGGCATGGAACCAATATATTTGTGTTGAATTTACGGAATTGATACATATCTCTACTATGCCTTCAAATATCGTACTTGTCCGAGTACGAGTGAGCGGCAGAGAAAACAACATCGAGTCCCTGGGCTAAATGACTCACTACCAACAACGTCCCAGATTGTGAAATTCGTATAAATACCATCGCATGGGCGTTGAACGTCCAATTAGACGTCCGATTTTTTTCCAGGGTGCTAAATCTAAGGCTCTTCGCCTCCGACACTCGCATCGTCGTCCTCACTGACATCCTGGTCGTAGTCCAGTGGTTCACCCATATTTCCCATGAAACTCGGTGGTGCGTCGTTGTTAAATACCAGCGTGCGCAACGAAGCTAGCTGCTGGGACATCCCGACTTCGGAGGAAGTGGAACTGCCGAGGTTGAGCAGCCGCAGATTCATCATGAATCGGCAAATTAACATTTGTGGCTGGGTGGAGCAGAGACGTCAAATGACCATCGGCGAGCTTTGGCAGTGAGCTCACCAATGTACTTGTGAATGCAGTGACAATGCTTATGGAAGTCTATAGGTGGTCAGTATAATAGATCGCACTGGTACGTGGGTCACTTACGAGGTAAAAGGACAGAATCTGAGAGGCATTCAGAACCAGGAGGATGCTGCCGGTGGTTATAAGCAGAGGAATAACGACGGCGATCGATAGAGGAGATTTACAAGAAGTATATTGTGCCTGAGGGTTCAGACAAGGGGTCAAAATCCTTGCTGCAACTAAAGGGAGAAAGTCTTACCGTCACGAATAAGACATGTGGCGAGCGGAGACTTGATGTTTAATAATTTTGCTTCTCTGTACTGGCGATGAGTCTTCATCCATGTCAATATTAGGATGAGCACGTCTGCAACAATCAACGGAATGCGAGTGAAGAGGAGCACTGTGAAGCAGCAATCAGGGATAGCTAGGATTTACAGGGTACGCAGTGAGAACGTACAGCTAATGAAGTCAAGCTGAGTATGTGTCTCACGATAGTAAAAAGGCAGCAGACTTACATGTGGTCCACTTCATCCGAGTAGTTGGGGAACTCGATGCATGCATCGATTGGTGAAGGAAAATATTCTAAATAGCCATTAAAAATGGCATACTGGAGACGTCAGCATCGGACGCAACGGCCTATCGGAGCTCCGGAACGGGGCTGCACATACAGTGTTGGTGACCACAGGTGGGAGACTCAGGACAAGCACAATTATGAACAAGACGTAGTTACGATTCCATATTGCACACACGCGCAGTGCAGAGAAGACTGGTGGTGACAGTCAAAACGCGGACAAGTTGGCACTCAAATGCATTGTGCTTACCAGCAGTCTGTACGAACGCCACGAGCGAGGGGGCTTCGTTAATCCAGTTACTGGCTGTGCAACTGTATTGGACACCGTCCTCAGCGCCGTCTAAGTCGGATCACGCGAGACATACCTCTGTAAACATTTACGTTAGAACTCAAATACATGAACCTTGAAAGAACAACGGCTTACCACTAGTCCTTGTGGGATGAAGGCGAATACCGCCTGCATAAGTAGCGTCCATCGGGTAAACACGATAAGAAGGGAAACAATCGAGAACGACTGCTGCCACACAGTGCGGACTTCTTGGTCAAGTGTAATCAAGTGATCATAGAATATCAACGCTGCGATTTCTAGTGTGAACATTCAGAACCTCTCAACAGCGCTGTACTTCACCTGCCGTTGCGAGCGTTGCACTATTGGAGTTAATGCTAAACACGCCACATCAGCGGAAGTACGTGGTTGAGGGTAAGACACGCACATCTGCGAGACTTCGGACGCAAAGTCAGATGACATGATCGTGCTGGAGACTTTGGATACAGGTGCGACGATCTGTGAACGGGTGTCGTATATTTGGCACTCACCAGGGAGCTATATATGTACCAGTCGCGCTGTCCTTATTGCCGGTAGCCACCGGTCGGAGATCTCGTGTGAAACCTAACAGCGCTCGGTATTACTACGCGGCTACGAATGCTGATCACGAAGATTTCACGAGATCAGTGCGCTTTCTGCAAGGAGCGACAACGCCACACGCCCAGAGTTCCCTGCCACGAAAGACGATTTTAGCCGATGAGACGAGGGCTGAGACTCTGCAGAGTTCAGGGACAATGGTGTTGCCAGCAGACCAAAACCAGCAGCACCGAAAATATTCGGATAAAGATGGCAGGGTTCAAGAGGTTCTTCGATACAATAACGAGGGAGTTACTCGAATTAAGTGGCAAAATAAGACGCCTCACCTGAAACATCATCGAATGATGAGACGTACCGATGAACACCAGGATGAGTTAAATTAGCAAAGCCGCGAATGAAAATTGGAGAGATTTCTATTCAGCGTGTGTTCCTATCTTGTATTCGGCTTAGCAAGTGGCGGACATGTTGGTCCGCTGATGAACCGGGGATTCGCTTCCGAGCGGACTGCACATCAGGCGATCAATTACGTAGGCGCTATACACAGCCTCGCGGATACTGGATGCCTTTCAGCAGCAATATGAGGCGGCTTGTGGACTATATAAGCCTTGCTAGAGCCTTGTAAGCACGCGCGGCGTGTCACTAGATTGTCAACGCACCATGATATCATCAGTGCGGAGGACGCGTCGACTCTGGAAGAGGGGGTCGGGCCTCCTTTCAGACGAAATCTGACCTCTACACCGCGCTCCCTTCCTGCGTCTTCAAAGCGCTTCCTGTCAATAACTCTCTGCTTGATGGCCGCCGTCTTGAATGGGGCGTCTGCGACGGTCGCCTACAAGTCTATAGTTGCTCAACATCACGCCGTACGCCAACACTTCGACCTTCGATCTGTGTCTGCAAACGTAGATATCGCTGCGGAAATGCATCCGCCCCTGCGACACAGCACAAGAGGATGGCATCGAGGTACTGATTCATGTACTCACAGCAGGTCCGAGCGCCATAGTACGCAGAATATTGCGGTCGGGTCACATCTAGTCGATAGCGAAACGAATGATCCTCGGTAGCCCCAATTGCACAAAAATGCCCCATGGTATTCCGTAGATCGATCATCTCGAGATGCGATGCAAACCCTTGTGCCAAAAGCCGCTGATCGATGCTCGGCGTCCCGCTCCCATCGACAGCCGACGACTTCCGACTCTGCGGCGGGTCGAACCTCCAGTTCGCCTTGACGCTCTAATACACAGCCTCGAACATTTGGACGCCATGATAGGGCCCTCCTCAAAAAGGGGCGCAGTTGTCGTGTCGTACCCGTGCGGCCGTTCGATCTGCAGTCGGCTGCGTATCTGCGGCGACATCTGGTGGCGTCCGAGCCACGATGTTGCGGAGGCGGACGGTCAGCAGTCGATACTCAGTTCTGACAAGCGGTATTTGACTCGACAAACTCGTCGCGCGATATTTGCGTGTGCAGCCCTGCCGCCCTTGGGTCTGAATCGCAGGGGACCTTGTCGCTTATGACGTGCCAGCCGCCTATTACTTCCTGCCTTCCATGTTAGGCGACCATCTACCGTATGCTTACGTGGTAAGAAGGCTGTGTCGGACGATGTGAGAGAGATGAAAGAGCTGTTCTGGCTCCAGTGCAAACTTTGGGAGAAGCGGAAGAACTGATAAAAAGCGTATCAAGCGCGCAATGATCTGAGCACCGGCCCGGCCGCCTGTCCCGACGATCCTCGTGGCGCAGTGATGGCGGAGGTAAGCGTCGGTGATGCGTACGCCGATAGCTGTTGGAGCGCTCGGGCTCTCGTGGACTGCTACTTCCAACTACTTCGGACACGTCGGCTCTGAGAGAGCAGAAAGAACAAGTGAATAGTCTAAAGTAAGTACTAAAATGAGGATTATTGTCGATTTGGCCGGTATCCTAGGCTACCTTGCTACAGCGTTGCCGCCGCGCCGCGCACCCCAACTCAGAAACACCGCGTTCCACTTTGCACGGGGCTCCCGCACCAGCACTCATTGTCTGTACGTCACTTGAAGGTACCTCGCTAGTAGTCTTCGAGCGTCGAGATGTTGAAGTTCTGCCAGCGCTCGTTGCGGCTCGTCGCGACGTTTTCGATCGGGCATAACAGGTACAACTGCCCTTCGGGGCGAAATAAGTCCGTTAGCCAGGCTTCAAGCTCGCCGAAAGCTGGAGAAAACTCATCGTCCAAAGCTGAGATGACATAGAGATCCGGGAACAAGCAAGTTCTTCTGCGCCGCGGGTGCCTCATCCTTTCAAACGAGAGCTATACGCGCGGACGTGTCCATCTCGAGGCTGCGCGTCCGGCAGAGTCAGTGGAGGTTGTGGATGGCTGTACATGAACAGGCTGAGACTGTGCAGTGTCAAAAATGCTGTGCAGGATCTTCATTTGCATGGGCTGAGAGGCGAGCCGCTGTCTTTCCGAACAACGGTAGCTGCCTCTTCAAATTCTGAACGGACGCCAGAGCCGACAAGTATTTTTATTCCTACAGAGACAGTGCTAAACATGACTACGCCAGAGTTTGAGACATATCACGACCAAAAGGCGAAAACCTCCGGAAATTGATGATTGGACACATCGTCGGCAATACCGCGCTCTGTAAACAGGTACGCACCCCTTCCCTGCCTCTCAATATCTCGTTTTTAAACTTTCCATTTCTCAAAGCCTCTCGGCGCACATTCGGATCGCTGAAGTACGACTCGCCTGCACAAACGCTCTTCAACCATTGATGTACCAACGCGAGCGCGAGCATCTCTCCCTCGCACCACTACCCAGCCGTTGACTTAGCCGTGCTCGCATGTATGCGGCTCACTGGTGTCGCAATACAAGAAGATGTTGGCATGCGTCTCGGTTTTCCTACTAGGGTGAATGCGTTATACCAGCTTTTCTCGTGAGGGCTGAACTAGCTTTATGCTAGGCGAGCTTTATATATATATTCTTCACTCTATGCTGGACCTAATATGCGTATATACGCGCTGCGAGGAATATAATGATAAACCGGATTCCCTTTATGAACAAGTCGCGTGGGTACGAACAGCTCCAGTCTGTCAGCAATATCAGAGGCGAAGCTATTCCAATCCCGATGGCCACATTGGAAAGACTGCGTGCGCGAGTTTTACCCCCAGCCAGATGTCTGCACTCCCACGCAAAATTATTTCATACAGCATGGGCCCGTACAATGATTTTATAAGTGTAGCTCAAAGTACATTGAATAACTCAGCCCTGTGGGAGGCACCCGATTCACGGCAGCCAGGGAAGCTGAAATCGCCCCTACGGCAGGGAGTAATACGCGAAGAGGATCGTGCCCCTAAAGAGATCTGAGATCTCCGTGTCGGTGAGGTCAATGAGCCCGAGGTCTGGATGACGCGCTCTGGCACGGCGGATTATGAGTAGCGCGACGTCGAGGAGGTTATCTTGGTGCAAGATAAGCTGTTAGTGGTGCACACTCCACGACCGGGATCTAGAGCAGCAGCGAGCGAGAGGAGTCGAGCGCGACACCCTTGGAGCGTCAGTATTGCGAGAGCTCTTCCTGCGCACAAGATATACAAGAACATATCCGCGGAAGCATGTGTTCGAATGAGACAGAGGGGCGTGCGTGCGCGCGGGGCTCGATTCGGTTGGCGGCGGGATGACGGTCACCCCCCTAGAAGCTGTCCGGAGAGCTTTACAAAGATATGTGAGGCACCTGAGATTGCCTTTACTCTGCCGGAACGTCCCTTACAAACCTTCTCCGTCGGCTTCTAGGTGTCACTTCTTGTCCAGCGAGTCATCCGCCTTGACAAGTGCGGGCTAGTACATTACCCTCAATTGGCAAGAAATGGAGCAGTGCATTAAACAAAGTATACAGGTGCATAAAATGTATCGTAAAAAAACATTTGCGCATGAAATAAACTAAACCCAGTCAAACCAAAAAGAAACGCAAATGCCGAAAGCCTATGCGAGTTCACATCAGTAAAGTCCCGTACAATGAGATTCTCGGCAGTCTCACAGTAAAATCGCCGGGTGCTCAGCTAAACTTCTGGCTCTTCTCCAAAGTACGGTCGCTCGTCATTGACGCGCACGTCGTCGTCCACCCTTAGGCTGTCATCCTGCCAGTGGCCGTAGTCCAGAGGCTCACCCATATTTCCCATGAAACTCGGTGTCGCGTTCTCATTGAATGTCAGCATGCGCAACGAAGCCAACTGCCGAGATGACTCGTCCTCGGAAGTAGTGGAGCTTCCGTGGCTGAGTAGCCGCAGATTCATCATGAAGCGGCAAACCAGAATTTGTGGCTAGGTGGAGCAAAGATGTCAAACGGCTCGGAAGCTTTGGTAGTGAGCTCACCATTATACTCGTGAACGGTGCGAGTATGCCTATGGAAGTCTGTAGGTGATCAGTATGCCGGGTGGTACAGAAGAGCGGGCCACTCACAAAGAAAAAAGACACGATTTGCGAGATATTCAGGATCAGGAGGACGCTGACAGCAATTTTAAGCGGGGTAATGGTGAAGCTGATCGATGAATGATATTTACATGAAGTATATTGTGCCTAAGGGAGCAGATAAAGGGTCAAGACTCTCGCCACCAACACAAGGAGATGAACTTACCATCGTGGATGAAATATGTAGTGAGCGGAGACTTGATGTTCAATGCTCTTGCTTCTCTGTACTGGCGGTAGGTCTTCATCCACGTCAAGACTAGGACGAGCAAGTCCGCAACAATCAATGGAATGCGGGTGACAAAGAGCACTGTAGAACGGCAATCAGCGGTAGCTACATTCACGGAATAGTGGGCAGGTTGGCGAGAACATACAGCTAACAATTTCAAGCTGAGCACGTGAACTATAGCAGTAGCAAAGCAACCAACTTACGCGTCGTTTACTTCGTCGGAGTAATTAAAAAAGTTCACACACGCATCGATTGGGGGAGGAAAATATTCGAAGGAGCTATCAGCTAAGGCGTACTTGGAGGGATGTCAACAATAAGTGCAATGGTCCAGGGCTCAGTAATAGTGTCGCACTTACAACGTTGATAATCTCCTGCGGGAGACTCAGCACAAGCACGATTGTGAACAGGACGTAGTTCCTGTTCCACATTGCGCATACACGCAGCGCAGAGAAGACTGTCAGAGGTCAGGTTATGCACATAATGGCTTTGATACATTGCGCTCACCGGCAGTCTGTGCGGGCGTTGCGAGCCCTATGATTGTGGACATCCAAAAAGTGGCTTCGCAGCTAGACATCGCTCTCAGCACTTTCTAAGTCGAATAAAGTGAGCCATACCCCTATAAAGATCTATGTCAAATTCAGGTGCGTGAAATTTCTAAACAATTACTTACCAGTTTTCCGTGTGGAATGAGGGTGAACAATGCGAACATCGCCTGCAAAAGCAGCATCCATCGGGTAGATACAATGAGGAGAGACACAGCCGAGAGCTTCTGTTGCCACACTGTGCGAACTTCTTGATCGAGCGTGGTCAAGTAATCGTGGAATACCAAGACTGTAATCTCTAGCGTGAATATTCAAGATCTTTCGACAGTGCCGTACTTCACCTGAGGCCGCGATCAATGCACTGCGGGCAACGATGCTAACAAGCCGCGTCAGGAACCACGGACGCACACAGTACAGAGCATGACACGTACATCTGTGAGACTTCGGATGCCAAGTCAGATGACATTGCGCCGGAGGCTTTGAATGCAGGTGCGACGGTTTGCGAAGAGGCTAAACGTCCTATGTCTAGTATCTTCGAGCACCCACCATGAAGCTATATATGTACCCATCATACCAAGCTTCTCTCCGGTAGTCGGCGGCCCTTTGTGATGCCGATCAGTGTTCGAAGTTCCTCCGTCGCTACGAATACTGAGCGCTGAGCATGGCAGCGGCGTCGATATCACTCGAGGTGA